TGCAGAAAATCTGAGATATTCAGGAACCCACATATAACTGCAAGTCCTTAAAAAGTGAGAGAATGGTTCCTCTGTGCACAATCACCCCACCAAGGATAGTGTTTTGCAGCCTGCAGTGGATAGGTGACAGTTCCCCTTATTTGTGTCACCTCTTGGAAGCAGACTTTGGCAGGCATTGGTTCATTACAGGGCTCTTGATGGTTGTGAGGTAGAAGTCTTGTTTTTAACATATCCTTTTAAATGCTTTCATAAATAGACACTTAGGTTTCAAGCAAAGAAGCAGGGCTTAGTCAAAATCTGGTGATCTTGACAGTAATTTTAAAAGTTTTTATTAATAAAATATTTTTGTACACAGAACTGGCATGCTTTGTGAGCTGTTCATTCACTTCCACAGAACAATTGCTGTAAAAGATGGGACTGGGAGTGTCATCATACATCTGATTTGCCAAGTGAAAATACAGTGGATACTTTTATTAGTATAAAAAGTAGGGGGAAGGGAAGAGGATTTTTATTTTTGAGGTTCATTGATTACCAAGTCTGTCAGAGGCAGTGTTCCTATTTTAAGAAAATCGTTGAATCATCAGGAAGCAAAATAATACCAAAGATAGCAGTGCCACCATAAGGTTTTAAGTATACAGATTTAACTCTATGATCCCTTCTGATACTGGTGGGCACTGCCATGTATTGTCTTGTTGTCTTTGACACATTTGGTATCTGCTACTATGAGGGGTTTTCTATATTTTCAAAGCCTAAGGCTAGTAAAGCAGGATACTTCCTGCAAGATGTTGATTACAATTGGATGTGGTGTATAGATAAGGAAATCTTTATTATTTGCTGTCTTGCCCTCCTTTCTGTCCCTGCCCAGTACAATTTTTTGGGAAAAAAAACTAAAGGAAGATTGACTGTCAAGTGCAAGAATATGTCAATTTCTTTTTAAATGTACTGAAATACCAGCTTCTGTTGCCTTTGGAATAAAATATCCTTATGTGCTTAGAAGTTGGCACGTGAGAATAAGTTGCTCTTCAGTTCTGCCAATGATACAGACTTTATATTTAGGTAATTATATCTGTAAACCAATTTCATTACTTCTGTAAAAATTAGATATATTGGGGATGGTTCCTGGTAAACTGAGATAAAGTATGTTGGAGAGCCTAACAAGTTATTTTTAGAACAGGGCAAAGTGTAGCCATGGAAAAAGATAAGTAGTTTTTTTATATACATGCCAGGAAATTGTTATGTGCTTCAACTGAATTTATCCTAGATGGCTTCAACTGAATTTATCCTAGATGCTGTGGTCTGGATACTTGATTCCCTTTGAGGAATCAACAAGGTAGACAAAGGAAGTGGAATTACTACTGCTGGTGTTATAGGGATGCAACAGCACCTGAAAGGCTGAGAAATTACTTGTTAAATATAAGAACAATAAATCTATTTTAAGTCAAGATATCAAGATGAATGCTGAAGGTTGGATATGGAAGGAGATATGTTTTGTAGGGTTTTCTCATTTTGTGTGTATGTGAAGATAAAGTTTACATTTTATTTTTCCAGACTGATACCACATTTGATCAATTTCCCCTACATCTTTAGGATATACATTGTGTGGGACAGCTTGGTTTGTTAGTGCTTAATAAGTCCTTAGAGTTCCATACATAAAGAGGGGCTGCTTCAAATAATGAGGTGATGTAAGGGATGCAGATTTGAGCCATGCTGTGTGTAAGTGGCAGTGGCAGGGCCCTTGGGCATGCTTTCAGTATCTATACCCTGTAGGGCACCTTTGTAATGGCAAGAGAGGCTTTACTGTAACTGTGAATTTACTTCTCTTTGCTCCTTTTCCAATTGTCATACTTGAAAATGCCATTTGCTTCATCTCAAATAACAGTTGAAGAGACAGATGCATGAAATTCACTACAGTGCAAGGTGAGGTAGAATAAATACAAACTTTTATCCACGAATAGAGTCCTGAGTGTGAAGCTGCTTTCTGAGCTGGTGAGAGCCAGTAAAGGCTGACAGTACTGATGCTGTTGCCATGGAAGTGCCAATGTTCTCATACTGGCTTCTGAGTTTTGATGGGTTTTAACAGGCTGATAAATGAGGTCTGATATGTAGTGCCCTTCTGCCTGCCTTTGGGAAACGAATTATTTGGTAAATTAAAAATTAGTAGCTTATATTGTTCCCATATAAACGTGGCTATTCCAAAGCTTTTGTGACTACAGTTCTGGAAGAATTTTCAGCACCACATCCCACTTACATACAGTGATCTGGCATTGAAAAATACTAGTGGAAGTACTGTAAAAAGATCTCTTCAGCAAAATAACTTTAAATTAGGAGCAATACTGCTTCCCAAATTGCTCCCAAATACTTCTCAAACAAATCCAGAAACTAAGACTCTTAAAAAGAAAACTAAGAAGTGTATCCAGAGCTAATTCAGATCTTGAACAGTATCTATCTACACCTGAATGCTCATGAATATTGAAGTAACAAAACATGATCTAAAGTCCTGTGGACTCCTACTGGAAGCCAAAATAATTGTTTCCTGGTAGCCTTAGTTGGCCATATTGGAAACAGTTGCCTGAGAGTTACACACATGTGAGGTTCATGAACAGCAAATGAGCATGTGGATTGCAGTGCCACATCCTCCCCTGGATTACCCACAAATGTGGATTATTATTTTTTTTTTCCCATACAAGTTAGAAAGTCCTTGGAAATGAAGGTAAATTGCTTTGTACGTAATGGATACTACAGTATCAGCACAGGGAGTTAGTGAGATATAAATTCATACCCCAGTGTAATGTGTCCTAATTTCTCCAAGCCCTAGGGCCATCTTGTTCCTGAATGAGAGCACCCAGATAGAAGTTTAAATGCATTTATCAAGATTTTTAATTGTCCTGCTGTGGAATAACCTAAAGAATTTCTGCCTTGTTGGAGAACGAGCTACTTAACCATGGAGACTGCACAGGTTCAGTTTGCATCCGGGCTTTGATTTTGTTTCTTTTTTCTAGAACCTTTCACTCTATTTGGCACAACAATGGAACACAGACTCTTCCTTGACTTTGAAAGTCAATTTTGAAGTAATGTTTCCAATGTTGGACAGCAAATAGTTCTACTTAAATGAACACAAGTGGAAGTTAGTTTTAGTGTAAACTGGTATAAGCAAAGAATCAGTGTGATCTATAACCATATATTCCCACCTGCCTTCATTTATCTGTTCTGCCTGGCTTTCAGATGGGAGGTAGCACACCTGTGCCAGCAGTCAGGTTGGGAATATTGGTTGGGAATGTGTTTCTAGCTGGCTCCCATTTGTTATCAGGCCCAGTCTGACCACGTTATTGTAAGCTAACTCTTCTTTTGATTATGAGCCGTATTAATGTAGTACAATTCTGCATTTGACTAAAAACTTCTAGCAAAACTGCTGTTTTTCAGTGTAGAGTTTTGTCAGGTGCTTTTGTCTCTGATTAAAATATGGCTTGCATGTGTGCTGGAGCAGTATTTCAGCAATGTTGGGGTGACAGCAGTTGTTATCCTATGATGTTTTGTGACACAGTGAATTAAGCTGAAAGCAGCAACCTTTCTTGCGTTCTTCTGTTACAGTAAAACATCTGAATATTGTATGAAAAGAGGAGACCTACTCTCTGACACTTTTCTGTCAAGGCACACTTCCTCACTACTACCTCCCCAGGAAACTATTTAATGCTAAGAAAAGTTCTTGAAAGAAAAGACAAAGAGCCTCAAATACAAATATTTAAGCCTGGCATATATGGGATGTTCAGGTTGGGGGTTTTTTTTGGTATGAATATCACAGAATTACCAATATGTAGACTACATGTACCAATTCCTGTATTTAAAAAAATACTGTTTTAGCAGATTATGGTGCTATAAACATGTTAATCTTGGCATAGTTTTTCTACCTAAACGATCTTGCAGTATAGCGAGATGATTGTCTGGGGTTTGGGTTCTGTTTGTGCGTTTTTCATGAGTAGGCCAAGCTGTTTGCAGTTGATACCTAATCACTGTCATTTACCTTCTGCAGAAAAGTGCCTTCAGGTGCTGTGGGCAGCCTTACCATGCTAGACCCTGTTGGCAGTAGCAGCAGGGTTGGGAAGTTTTTATAATTAGAAGCTTGATATATTTCTGCTACTGGGGATGCTGTGCCCGACACTTGGTTACGCTTTGCTGTGAGAAAAAACCCTAAAAAATAAAAAACGTTCAAGATGCCTTTTGCACACAACTGAGAGCCGGCCGTGCCCTTCCTCGGCCGCTGGAGTAGAGCAGGGGGGGAGGCTGCCAGGTGCCGCTGCTGCAGCGAGCGCAGGTGGGAGCGATTCTGCCCTCAGGGCCCTACGAGAGGAGCGGGGCGGGCTCAGGGGCGCTGCCCGGGCGCAGGGGGGGCTCGGGCCGGGCCCCTCGCCCAGCGCCCGCCTCGCACACGACGCCGAGTCCGCAGGGCCGGCGGCGGCCGCCGCTGCTCCGGCCGCTGCCTCCGCCCGCCATTGGCCGCACGCAGCCCTCCCCCGCTCCCCTCCCCTCCCGGAGCGCCGGGCAGCGGGGCGCGGGCGCTCCCCGGCAGCGGTAGGAGCCGGGCGCCGGGGCTCGGGCGCTCCCCGAGCGAGCGCTCCCGGCCAGCGGCGCCGGGGCCGGGGCTGGGCCGGACCGGGGCCGCCCCCGCCGGCGGCTGAGGTTGAGCCGCGCCCGCGCGCTGCAGCCCCGCAGCCCCCCCCGCCTGCAGCGGGGACAGGAGGCGGCGGCGGCGGCGGCTGCCGCCGTCTCGCCGTGCCCCGACCGGGGCCGCGCGGGTCGCTCCGGGCGCAGGGCGGCTCCTCCTCCATGCGGCGCGGCCGCCCGCAGCGCCCGGCTGCCCCGCGGAGCGCGGGGGCGGCGGGAGGCGGCGCGGGGCCGCGCGGAGGATGCCGGCGGGCGGCGGGGCGGCGCGGGGCCCCGGCGGGGCGCGCTCCCTCAGCCCCACCGCGCTGTCCCGCAGCCTGTCCCGCCTGCGCGAGCAGCGCGCCCGCTCGCGGGCCATGCTGGCCCTGGGGGTCACGCAGATGGTGCTCGGATGCCTCATCGTGGCCGTCAGCTTCGCCGCCCTGGCGCTCACCACCTCGGCCCGCGTCCGCCACTCCTGCCCCTTCTGGGCCGGCTTCTCGGTGAGTCGGGGGGCGCGGGAGGGGGCGGGCGGCACCGGCGCTTCAGGGATGCGCGGCCGCCCGACAGGTGGGACGCGGGCGGGGATCCCGGGCCTCGGCGCTCTCCCCGCGCTGAGGCGGGCAGGTGACAGCTCCTCGATCGGCTGCGGCGCGGCGACACTTCCACCTCCCCTTTGGAAGAGCTGGCCGAGGTAGATTGGGTTTTACCAGCAGCGTCGGGTGAAAGTTGGGATGACAAATGAGCCTGTGGCGTTGCCCGTTGCATCGGCGCTGACTTGGGCTCACCTTGGGATGCGGCCGCCGCTCGGGGTCTGGCGCGGTTGCAAACAGAGCCGCGAGCCGTGCGGTGCTGGAGGTGACCGGAGGAGACGAGCACGGCAGGAATGGGAATTAAGGTGCACACACGGCATGGAAGAGCTGTGCCGAGGAGAGCGCGAGTGCTCCGCGGGGGCTGGAAGGGCCGTGGCTTTGGGCACCCCAGAGCCCTGTCCTGCCTGAGAGGGGCAGGGGTGGCTGCTGCTCTCAGGGAAAAACTTGTTCGTTCCGAACGCAAATCGGGGTCCTCCTGGTTCCTTTGCAATCTCCTTTTTCACTTTCCGTGTGTTCTGCTAGCGCAACAACAACAAAAAAGTTGCTAGTCTGACTCGGGTGGTCTCATTTAGTGCTGACCATGAGTGGCCGCATCTGTGTGTGGGTACAGTGCACACATGGACACAGTAGTGTCATACTGCTTCGTGAAAGTTTCTGTCATAAGCGACGAAATGGGGCTTGACATTTATGAAGAATTTGGTATTTCTGAGGGCACTGGTAACAGACTCCATGTTATTGGTGAAGACTTGCTCCGTTGAATTTAATGCTTTACCAGTTTCAGTTCTCTCTTCAGCGCTTTTAATGGACAGAGAGTTTTCGACTTCAAACGTGCTTGTTACAAACCAGAACAGTTAGATAAAATATTTTGGGTTATTTAGTTCTGAGCATGTGGTGGAAATAGTGTGATTTTTAAAAAACCTTAAACTATTTAACATGCTCTTATGCAGAACATTGCTTTCTTTTTTTCTGAGTCTTTCAGAACAGAAGCGTAATTATTTAGATATTTTTCTTGATTTTGTTGTATTTTATTCTAGTCTTGAAAAAAAGAATGAGTTTACACTAATAGCATTGATGTCGTAATTGTCATTCTATTGAATTTGATCCTCTGCAAGATAATATGCAATTATTTGTTGTGATGAGATGTGAATTTTAGGTTCAGAATCTGGCTGCTTACATATTAATGTGCTGGTAAACCACCACACCTTAGGCAGCCTTTGTTTCTTACCTGGACAGAGTGAGCAGGAATGTGCATAACTGCTGGTGGATTCCAGTAACTTTTTCCATAGTACCTTTCCCCCACTCCTGGTGGCTGTTGTTATGCTCCCAAGATAGGCTGCTTTTCTTACTGTGGGTGCTTTCCACTCTTCTCTCTGTGCAGTGCATTTCACAGAAAATGTGTTTCTCACTTCGATTTCATGCACATCAGCTGCTCACCAGAGACACCAAACCTGTGATTGCAGCCTGTGGTAGAACAGGTGGAAGGCTCTGAGAATTGCAAGACTGTTGACTAGAAGGCCTTATTTTCCTGTGTTATCAGAACAAAGCAGGTGTACATTGTTTCCTAAAGTAAGAGTTTACTTTTTGAAAAAATAATTCTGCCTTATAAATGATCTGTCTGAGCATTAGAATAAATTTAGTTTCCTCCTATTATCCTTACCTCTGAGTCTCAAGAACTAAGATAAAATAAAACAGTTTTTGAAGCATGATGAGCCCTAAAGAACTTTCTGAAGTTAGTTGATTATACAGCCTTTTAGAAAAGCTCTTTAAGGTATTTAGTGAATTTAACAAACACTAGATATATCATCACTCAGAGCTGAAAAAAATGCCTCTGTGGAAGAGTTACAGTCTTTAGCTTGCTTCTGTAAAATACAATTTAAGAAATAACTACAGGTGGGTTTAAGCAGTATAAGAGAAGAATAATGGAGCTATCTTTCCCCTCTTTATTTGGTGCCAGAATCAGACATAGATATTCACTGCCTTCACACTACTTCCCCCTCACTTCTTGGAAGTAAATAACTGAGTCGTTTGATATTGAAGTAGCACTTCTGAATCTGTTTTTTATATGTGTGTGTTTATGTGATATACTGTAGTTTTTAGCCATTAGAAATGCACATCCTAAAAGAGAGTAGTCGTGGTGTTGGTGCTTTGCAGCAGTTTTTGACACCAACTGCCCAGTCAATATAAGTGAAGGCTGCAAAAATTTGCTAAGAATCTTTCAAATGTTTCTGAAAAGAATTTCCTAGTGTTTGTAACAGTCTAGCTGGGAGAAAAAAATTTAAAATAGATCAGGCTGTATATTAGACTCACAGAAAGTTCTGTAATCAAATGCAAGGAAAGATTCTGGTTTCTCACTTTCTTTTTGAAATCAAATCAAGTGACCATATAAGTAAGAGCTTATTTAAAGTACAGGGCACCATAATTTCCACAAAACTTGGAAGAGTTCAGAGCTTATTTAAGCATCATTCCGTACCTTAAACAGTTTATCTTTCATAGTATCGTATTAGGAAGATAAAAAGTATATTTATATATTTTGTGTTAAGAATTTTCTATGGTAATTAATCAGAGTTAATCTCACACTGAGCAGAAGGAAATTTGAGGTTTAGATAAGCAGGTTCTGGTTAATTCTCTGTATAGGCAGCAGTCATTGGCAAGACTTTGCAATCTGTGTGCTGAAATGCTTGGCAACTTGATCCCATTGCAGTTTCCTAAGAAAAAGATGATTTCTCCTTCACATTCTTTCAATTGGGTAAAAGAAAATGTTTTTTTCATATAAGGGAAATGAGTATAGGTGTCTTTGATCCTGCTAAGAACATCAAGAACAGAGTAGCAGCCTCATTTTAATCATGGAAGGATAGGTCTCAAAATGAGGCTGTTCTGGTGGGTCACTGGCAGTATAAGCAGTGACAAGGTTATTTCTCTCCCCTGTAGGTGCATAGTTGCTTGAATATGAGAAAATACTTGTACCCCCTTTGTCCTTTAGAATGCAAACCTGGTGGCAGTTTGTAGTGTGTTGGTTGTGTAGGTGAGCAGAGTGAGGGACATGCCTCTGCTCAGTGTGCCTGATGTTCGTGGTTCCTGTCACTGTTGGGACAGTAACAAACCACAGGCGGATAGAGCTGTGCTTGTGTGGCTGCAAAAGCAAATCTCGCTTTGTGAAGTCATTGCTTGAAATTATTTAGAAGTTTGCAGAAAGGTGCTTATCCTGTTACCCCCCCCATCTTGATCCCAGCAATGTAAGAAAATTACCAAACTTAATTAGAGACCAGAATTCTCTCTAGTTGAGCAAAGTATTAATAAAATAGTAAATCATAAGATTACCCAGGTTTCTAAAATTACTCTGGCACTAGAAATCTTAGCATGTACTTGCTGTGTATTCTTCTATCTCCTTCTTTATGTATAGTTACTTGCCAGTCGTTGTGTTCTTGTGTAGAAGTGTGTTGCTGGAAGATCTTGTGCTGTCTTTCCTTTTTATTAAGTTTCTTCTCAGTTTTGTCTCTTTTCATCCATACCACATGTTCAGAGCAGAGCAATTCTTCTGACTTAAAAGCATCTTTAATGTAGAATGTTTTCAAGGTTCATGACATCCATGCTTTTTTGTGTTCTTTGAAAAAGGAAACAGATATATATAGGGAGATTGTTGGTGTGAACTCAAACTCAACTTTTCTTTTATGGAAAATGGGAAATATGTTATGTACCTGTCTATGCTATTAACTGAGCTCAATATAGGAGGCTTTTCTGTATTCTTCTATGACATTGTACAAAATAGGTTTAAAAACCTCTGGTGATGCTTTAAAGGAGTTAACTTTCAAGAACTTCTACTTGTCTGTGACCCTGGCTGTTCTTCATATGCAGCAGGTTGTCCTGCCATGTTCCTATACAGAATCATTGTGGAAGTGAAGGGGAGATGGCAATAAAGATGATTTGTTAGCAATTGTGTTTTTCTCTTCTTCTTCATTTCAGCTAAAGGGTTTTTTCTCCTGTTCTGTCCTCTTTTGGTATTTTCCATGATTGCCTCTGGATAGTAAGGAGGAATACAGTGGTAGTTGTAGCTTGGGGCAAGGAATTTTAATTTGCATGAGAAGCCTCTTGTGAACAGTGTGACTGTGAAAGCAAGGTGAAGCTCCTTGAAATAAAGTAACCTTACTGCTCTTGTTGTGTGATCGTGTCCACTGAACTGGGACGACCTGCAACACATTTCTTTATTTGTCTCGGAGGTGATAATGATGCCTAGGACTCAAAGGGCAACTTTCTTGTCCACCTGTTGTGGGTATAAATGAAACTCTAAGTCTATAGTTATCAGGTAGTTTTTCACAAAATGTCCACTGTACTTCTGAGTGTGCTCTATGAGAGCTCTAGATACTCTCTGAGAATGTGGGAATCCATGGTATGGGTTGCTTGATTGAGTCTCCTGGTTAACACACACAGCCTGAGGCTCAGTGGAGGAAACACTGTTTGGATGAGAGTATGTGACCAGATGCCTTCTCTGCAGAGGATTGTTCTCATAGCAGATTTCAAATCTGTGGATTCAAAGCCATGATGATTAGTTTCTTGTGGACAATTTGTTATTCTGTGATGGTAGCTGCTGGTTCAGACAATGTTCTGTATCTCTAAATATTCACTTTCAGACTTCTTTTGGAGGAATTTGTATTGCTGGTTTGGGAATTGAGTAGGTAAATTTCCACACAGAAAAGGTTTTTGGGAGACTTATCAGACCTCTAATGCAGATTATGAAATAGTCAGGCCCAGGGAACAAATGAAACTGACTTCTCTATGTGGTTGTTGAAGATCTTATGTCGTTCCTGAGAGATGATGCATCCACACACTAGGACACTTACTTTGAAGTTCCTTGCTTCCATTTGATGGATTTTTTTCCCTTTCCCTTTCCTTCCCTGTTTGTCAGGGCTTTGAAT